ACTTCCAGTTCATTGGATAAGTGACATGGACCGATGCACACGTTGATCCTCAGTTAGTGTGATCGATACAGATGGGGTTAGATGTTCGATAAGCAGCCTCACGCCCCCCTTGAATTTGGTAACCAGTCAGTGTTAACCTTTGAAGAGCTTTTTCTGGGCGAACTGCTAAAGCAAAGCGAGAATGTAGCAGACTATCGCCTTGTAAGATTCCAGGATAAGCGGCAGTTGTGTCCACTTGTAACTGATCGCACTATGGTCTATTTTTCCCCATTCCTGTGAAGAGAATGGAAGCTGCCTGTGTAGCTGAGCGGCATTTGGGGTTTCTGAAGATGTGAGAAACCATCCTACGTAGCTCACCGATCGATACACAGGCCATCACAGCACATCAAGACAGCCGTTCGCCATGGTATACACTGAACACACGGTGTTAATTGGGTTCGGGCACATTTTGAAGTGACGCGATAGTGAGCATCGTGCTAAGGCAATTTTCCCTTCAAAAGCTATTTTTAATTCGGAAATTCCTCTTGACAGATCAGGTAACGGGAATTTGTGAGAAACGATAATGTTTTGTCTGAGCATGTCCTAAAAATCTCCAGGGGGTTCTGATCTTCGAACGACATGGAATGTTTGCGTTCGCCCCCCCCCTGGATGAGAACCTCCAGATCATTGTAACGAGTAGTTAAATATACTGAGTGAACTGACTGAGTGTCGCGAACGGCGGAGCTCGGGCAACTGTAGTCTACGTGAATCTTTGATTTTTCTCTCAACATTCCAATCCAAATGGGCAGCCTAGACACAGCAACCAAAACCGCAACACGACGCTGCATGGCTAATGGTTGTAAAAACTGAAACTGAAGTGACTGATCATTTATCAAACTACTGCTATAAGCCACTGTCAATATTAGTTCTTCTATCCTTTCTTTCCACATCATAGGCTGTACGCTATGATACTTCATAATGTTCCCACAACGCGGCAATTATCATGCGAAAAGAGTACTGTGAATTTTCGGGAGGTTGCAACCTAAAAATGTGACATCGATGTTGTTCTCCTGGTCTGGGGGATTTTTCTTCCCAATGTTTAGTTGCTAACCTTCGTTGTCCCGTCCTTTTTGGTGGTGGTGGTTTACAGGACAGCGATATGTGAAGATTCGGCATGCGAGCAACCTACACTGCACGGAAACAACGATGATGACGAAATGACCTGAATTTGAATAGTTGTTTATACTGAATCTCATTCGGACACTTCTGCATTACAAATTTGGAACTCGTCTGTTGACCTTAGATTCACGATAGTTTAGTTCAATTCTGATGCGTAGGTGTGAATCGATCGCTGTCACTGACGTGTTGGGATCGTCTTGGCGGCGTATTCGTTGCCACAAATTAATCATTGCTCCGTTAAATAAAACACTGGCATGTTCACCAAGCATTATCTATAGGGAAATATGTTTATTTAATGGAGGAACCATGTAAATCTAACAAACTTCATATAGATGTGATGTGTTAAATTGCACGTGAAGACTGATGGCCTGTCGTTTTATACACCAGTCCAGTTAACTCCTTGATCGGTTGACAGGGGACAAAACAATATGCGACGATTAGTAACCGGCCATGAATTGATTACGTAATTGCGTAGCACATAGTGGCACATTTGTGAGTTGTTTACAAAAATGGTAATTTCTTTCCGCTGCTCTTTAATCACAGTGCCGGACCAACCGCACTACTTCACGAATTCGTTTCGATTACTGCATTTAGTTGCATAAAGCCGATTTGGAGTTAGGCGGATCTATATTGCCATAGGTCAAATTCACAGTTTTAACTTCTAATCTCATGGTGTTCATTTGCTGAGGCTGTTATTGTACTAAATGATAACGAAACTGCTTACCGTCGAAGTGAACTGAAAGCACGGATTCCTTCCGCCGCTGTCCGCTCAATACTGCAATAGGGCTGCAAAATAGGGTCGATTTGTTATATTGCCTTGGAGCACCACTGCTTGTTGTCTATCGCCTATGTGTGGTGGCAGCATCATGTGAGGCATGAGAATGTCAGGCGATGACTCTGAAGCATAAACTGTCATTCAGATGAGGTAGCTTGGTTACGTGTTACCTACCCTCGAACAACGCTTGCTGCGCCGTACCTTATGTACTATCCCTGGACAGTTTTGGATAAGATGATGGGGTGACCAACCCACTACTTGGAGGGGGAACATGAGACAGCTGCTAGAAAGTCTAGCTTCAGTCGGTCCTTCGCGTCGCCCCTGGATAAAGCCATCCAGGTTCGGGATATCGCTGATTGAGAGACGGTAAAAGACACGACCCAAGATCGAAATTAGTGGCAAACCTAAGCACTTCGTTGCTGTGGTGACCCGTCCAGTTCCATGTGGAAGGTTAAGAAAACAGCAACAACAAATAAGAAAACGGGCAATGAAAAAAGAAATACATCTTCATATTCTCCGTGTTTGCTTATTTTGTAACATATTTTCATACTTCGCTTTAATTTCGTTTTTTTATTACACACCCAAGTGTGATGAACAGCAGATGGGACGAACCCCATGGTCGCGTGGACCTGCTGTCCAGTGGTATAAACCAGCAACCTAAGCCTCGGGACTTGAAATGGCGAACCATATAAGGCCCCGATAGGTTAGGCGTGCTATTGAACCGGACCCGATAGGTTATACATCATAATAAGTAGTATGTGAATGACTGAACAAAATTTCCCTGGAGACACACGACCGACCTCGCAGTTCTTGCCGCTCGTCGGGCATGCGTATCCGGTATTCTTCTGTCAGTTCATTTATATGCAGTGCGATGGCTCAATCGTTTGTTATCATCTCGTCCCTCTCACCAGTGACCTTAAGCAAGTAAATTCCCTTTCTGTGATCTGATTAGATCATATTCCGCGATCTGCGGCGCTTGAAATCCCTCACCCCAACACGAAAC